TATTTTGTCTCAGCAACGACAGAAAAGTAACCAAGGCACAAGCTATAAAAAAAACCCAACAAGTAACTATCTGAAAATCCCACACATTGATCATGTAGGTTAATAACTGATTCTGTAGCAGACCAAAAGGCCTCTGACTTACAGGACATATGCGTGGTTATAATTCTGTAACAGTAAGAGCAGAAATTTTTTTTTTATTCTTCTAGTACCCCTGTACTGATAATCCTTTATAGTTTATTAGAATTCACAAAAATGAGTATTAGACCTGTGCTATTATCTGAAAGCATTTAGCTGATGGACACTCAGGTGAGCTGCTGACCTGGTTCCCTGGTGCCCCGGTACCTTTCCTTGTAGAATTTATATTTTGAGAATCTAATTCATCTACAAATGGTTTTGTTTTTTTTTTGTTTGTTTTTTTTTCCCTTTAGTATCTTTCCCATTTGAGTACTAGAGTTTAAAAAGCAAACCCAACAAATCTCTTACCTAGCTTTTCAATTTTGTCTAAATTGTGTATCCTTTAGTACCACATTATTGCATAGTCTTTGATAGTATATTAAAATGGAATCCATAGGATAAGTGTTGAGCCAAGTGCTCTTTGCTATCCTGTCTCTGCTCTAGTCGTGGGCCTTGTTTCCTAAGCAAACTACCAAAGAGCTGGAAATCTGATGCAGACAGATATCTTTCCACTGAAACAAGGACAAGATTGATGGTAGAGAGAGTGACGTCATTCCTTCCCTTTGACCACCCTTGGTGGAGACCCTCACGGCACCAGCTGCTGCAGCTACTGAGGACTGTGTTGCTATTTGCGATTTGAGTCTCACTTAGTTAATAAGATCTGTAAATATCATGCTTGGAATAGCAATGACTTGGATTTCACTTGTAAAACTTCAGATGTGATGTGAGTTACTGAGGATTGACATTAAAAGTTCTTTTTTGATCCAGTGGCTAGAAGTCAGTCAGATCAAAGTTTGGCAGAGAAAAAATGGCTTGACGGTTAAAATAAACTGTTAAAACTGTTTAAGTAGTTTAAAATTATATATATATATATATAGGCCCAAGATGATAGAAGATGGCATTCTGCATCACTGAGCTCCAATCCCTTGAATACCATCTGTTTAAATTAAAGCAGGATCGTACAACTTAAGCTTTGAATATTTAGAGATTAAACAAAGTCCAAACGGTAGTTGGCGTATGAAACCCAATGTATTGTTCTATGCTCAAAGCATTTCAATGACATATAATTGACGCTGAAATCAGATGAAAGGATCTGCAGTAGAAACACTTCCGTCCCACATTAAACAGAAACAAAACCTCTCATTTATATTATCTTCTTTTTTTCCTTCTAGTTTCAGATAGCGCTCCTCATCTTGAGTGCCTAGCAGAATTTCAAGAGAAAGTGAGGAAGACCAACAATTTTTCAGCTTTTCTTGCCAATGTTCGGAAAGCTTTTACAGCTATGGTTTATAATTAATGTAGAAATAATACATTAAAATGGGTTGTTTTTCTTTTCTGTTGTCTATGTCTTTATAAAAGAGTTCTGTGTTTGGTGTTCTTGTGATGTTTCCATGTGGTATGAAGGAAAGCTGAATACATCACCCCAAATATATCTCTGACATAAATATTTGGAGCTGAAGACAATTAAGAAACAGCAGAGTCAGAAAAAGCCCTTTAGAAGGAGGGGATAATATCGCAAAGGTGTCTTGTCTGCCTTGTCAACAAGGAAGGAAGGAAGTTAATCACTGCGGAGAACTCTTATCAGCATAGACGTGGCACCAGAGGAATCCCCAAACAAGCTTGCTTCATTCCTTTATTCCCACAAACTTACCTTCCCACGGTGTCCCACCTCTGGAACCCAGAACTGCTTTCCTTTGTCTTGTGACCTCTGAAAACCTTACTATTCTTTGTTGAAGATACTGTATAAGCCTACTACTGTGAGTTACCTTTCACCGGGTTTCCCCCATGGGATGGGCTCTGTGTGCATTAATAAACTGCTTGTTTTCCTCGTGTTAACCTGTCTTTGTCATAAGCCATCTGTCCCAGGCATGAACTTACGAGGGTTTTGTAAAGCTTATGTTTCTTCCATGAGAAGTACATTTCTTTAAATTATTTTAATTAAATTCTTAGGGGGAAAATGATAGAAGTAAAATATGTGTCCTTTTAAAAATATAGTTAATAAAGTACATATATTTATTTATCTAATTGTAGTTAAGTGTCTACTATAAGGTAGTTTATGGCTAGCCCTGGGAATGGGAATTTGTACAAACTGCTGTGTCTCAGTGGTCTCTAAGCTTTGGAAGTTCAAGGATTCTTAGTCTCTAAAAGGTTAACAGAGTCAGCCCCACTTGGAGTTGGCAGCTGTTAAGGGATACGAGGTGCCTGGCCTGATGGCACACACTTATGATCCCAGCACTTGGAAGGCTGAGGCAGGAGGACCGAGAGTTTAAGCCAGCCTGGGCTACATAGTAAGACCTTGTCTCCAAAAACCAAAACAAACAAACAGAGAAAAAAATCTCGGGCCAAATAAATACTGCTATCTACTACCATTCTAATGTCATTAAAAAAATATTTTATCTTACACCAAGAAGGATCTACTGTTAGAATAAAAGATAATCTTTTACTTCCATGAATGTTGGCTGTATACTGCTAAGGTTTCAGAAAAGGATGTAGTTTTAAAAAACCAAGTGTAAAGACCTATAATTTCTATTTTTATAAAGTGTAAAGACCTATAATTTCTATTTTTATCCCATTTCATTCTCATCTGGATATGTCATCTGGAGAGCCCATTTAACACAGTCTAGCCCACATAGCAACTTAGTGGAGGATTTCTTTCTCTTCCCCACTCTTCCCTTGTAAAATTGGCTGCGTTTAGGTACACTGGCCGTATTGGAAGCCACATAATACTTTTTCAGGGTATCTGGGCACAGTTGAAAGCCATGGAACAAAGGGCCCCATGTCTCTAGTTGCTTCTGTTTCCTCCCTGAATAGTCTGAGGGGAAAGTTTGGGTGAGTGGTCCTATTAGTGAACTTAAGAGAATTTGAATGTCCATTTGTGCCTGGGATGTGGTTCTGGGCTTTATTCAGATAAGCAGTAGAACTTTGAGCAGAATGCTTTGAACTGGTGCAAAAGTGGAAATGTTAGCACTGACCTGTAGTAGTGTGCAGCTTTTAAGAACCGCAGATTGATACTATCTTTGTAGAGATCGAAGGCTAATCAACTACCCTAGAGATCTGGATGTGTGCAAACAGCAGTAGACTTATCCTGATTTAGCATGGGCGTGCCTACAGGAAGTACATTCGTTCCCTTTATGCACAGGGGGTTACATCCCAAGACCCTAGTCGATGCCTGAACCACAAAGAATGCCAAACACTATAGACTAGAATTTTTTTCCTATATACACAAAAGATAAATAACACTTTACAAGTTTGGCATTAGTAAGAGATTTACAACAATAACAAAGCAAAATAAAACAGTGATAAAATAGACCATTATTAAGTAAAATAAAGGTTG